GTAAATTAGCAGCCTTCAGCTTGGTTTTATATACCTTGTGATTAGAATGTCAAGGGAATTAATAATACTTGCTACAATGGATGCTAACTAGCTTAACAACACTTAATCACTCTAAGCTTTCTATTACCCACGTCAATACGAACATCAATTCCTAGTAGATAACAATCGCTTTTTAAAGGTATACCTACTCTAAAATTGTATTTAAAATAACGTCTTTTAAAATTTCTGCTGATAGCATCAATTGACAACAAGCATAGTATAGTGTAAAAGCCTTTAACCTCACATTTCCTACACGAAATACTAGGGGTGTCAATATACTTAACATATTACAGATTATTACTATGTGTGCTCATTTTAAATTTGCACTTTATGACTACAAAAATATTCTATATCCTGAATGTAAGTGGGAAAAGAAGCCAACAATCTTAACGCGTTACCTTATTTACTATACTAAATCAAAGTTTATGGTGGAAATTAATTACTGAATACAATAGAAGGATTTAATGGTACATTGTAGCTATTAAAATCAGTGCTTGGTCCTTATACTTTAAAAAAAATTAGTGTACTTTAATTATACTGTATATTTGATAGCAAAACATGTTTGCCCACGTTGAAATACGATTGCGAATTGGTTATTTGTCTTAATAAAAGCTTAGAATTAAAGTGGAGTATAATTCCGCACAACAATAAGTTTATAATGACCTACAAACATAAAATTACTTGTGTGATTATTGTCTTCCTTTGAATCCAACAGTCTCATCTGAACTCCTACACGCTTAGGAAGTTTATAAATTGGCTTATTATAGCAAAAGCCATAAAGAAATATGTTCAGCTCTTAACACAGCTGCTTGTGATGTTTCTGTAACACGTAAATATTTGTTTCCTCCTTCTTGCTAAGACTTTTTCTTCTTGTGTTTGTAAACTTTGGAATGTAAATTTTGAATTTTTAAAGTTACATTTAATAATATAAGATATAGTAGAGTTGACAATTTTGTTAAAATATATTTGCAGTTGTCGTATTAAAAGTAAATGTTCTGTACCTAATCAAACATTCACAGTGTTTTAAAAAACTCCACACTCTTAGAACTTAACAACCTAATTTAACAATGGTTTGCAATATCTTTGAATAGTAATCCTTTGTTGCTGTGTTGGCAACTAGTTTCGGTTCTTTTGGACCATCATCAGGCCTCAAGTTGTCAGGTAATCACTTAATTCGAAGGTCTTTAACAGAGTTCAATGAATAAAATATATACGACACACTATTACATATGACCACACTAGAACAGTCTAGACTTTACAGTCCGGTCACGTTCGATTTTGTAAATGTCCCTTCGTGTTTTTTTGTAAACCTGTGTAGGTTCTATGCTATCAGCGAGCACATAATAATATCGTATGTTGTATATGTTTAATTTTTTTAACTCTGTTTGTTGGCGACCCTTGAATGAAGTAATTACCTGTCACCTTGAGGCCCGATGATGGTTCAGAGGAACCGAAACTAGTTTCCAAAACAGCAACAAAGGATTACTGGTAGCAATTAGTGTAAACAGTTATAAGTATAATACACTAATCCGCTAAACAACCATTTGAAAAATAATTTAACAAATTAATATATGTTTAACTAATTCGCATTTAATTCACTGATTCACGAAAACCTATCAGGACAACTCACATGTCAGGTCAAAGGTTGTTACAGTTTATCCCACACCTAAGGTATGATTGAAATTATATTTTTTAAACTTTTAAATATAAAAACCTGTTTAGGCTAACTTTATTGATTTGACCTGTTCGTTTCAGTATAAAAAAAAATTGTAATAACATTATTTGGTTGTTTTTAACAGATTGTTTTGCAACAAATTGTTTTTTAAGTTAACATATAAAAAAAAACTGCAGCATAAGGCACATTTTTAACTGTGTTTTGTTTGGTAAATATATAGTTCCTAGTTTTTTTCCCCAACAATGGTGTAGTATTCTCATCATCATAATAATATGTATTATAAATACATAATAATAATACATACATAATAATAATACATACATAATAATAGGTGTTATTTTAAAAATGTTTGCAAAGCTTTAAGGTTTTAAACATCAAGAACAATATTTCTGGAATGGGAAATTACCGCTTGTTCTATACACAAAGGACAATATGTGGTTTGCATGTCAAACACAAAATGTCATTGTCAGACGTTCAGTCACAATCACAAATTGTACAGACATTTTCCGAATTAAATGTCCCTCATTTCAGCACATGATGATACTGTATACTTACTTTTTCACCCTATGATGTAATGTAGCAGATAGTGTAATCGGTTGGTCTCATCCTTGTTGTACACTACATTATTTAGATTGGGAATGAGGTTAAAACAAAAACAAAATTTTGGAAATAGCATGATGCATGATGTTGTCCATGGAAATACATCATCTAAATGTAATTTTAATACGAATTTAAATTAAGTATTTTTTCTTGAATTTTTTAGTTTAAGTATTTAGCTTTATTAAGAAAAGGATTGTCAAACATCACAGAGAGCAGGTGTCATTTTTTATGTTGAGCTAGGCTGATTTAATGTTTATTTTAGATTATTATACTTTTTTCAACTAACCACACAAAATTGATAAGGTGGTCAGTTATATTTTCAATATTATAAGTGTTCATACCATGTAATTCTTTGATGGAAATAAAATCATTTATTCATCATTTATTTATTTATTTATTTATGTGTTTTTTTTACCTTGGGCTGTGAGCGTTGCGGGACACAATGGACCTGCATATTATAAAAGTAAAATATAGTATTTAAATTATTTTCTTTCCTGCTGCACTCCGTAATATGATATCCAATGTAGTTTATGTAAATCCGTAGTTTAATCTAGGGCGCTAGGCACGAGCCTAGGATTGTTTTTCACATTACTTCAGATTGGCCCTGGGGGTTGTAGCAATATCACTTAGATAAAATCCATTGTTGATTTAGTGGGTTTTGAACATCAGGGACCGAAGTCCTGCACTCAAATGCATAGTTACAAATGATTTAGGTAAAGCAAATCTTCCTTGTAAACATTTTAATGTCATAAGTGTTCGACTTGGTTAAATTTGAAAGTAGGCACTAAAGTAGGTAGCTTTTGACTTGCGAAAAAGGACTTCAGTGGCCTTACTCTGTTGAAAAAACTACTTCCACATTACGTTATTTGCATGTCAACCGATATTAATTTGTGACTCTTTGAGACTTTCCGTATTATTATTTTTTTTTCTTATTAAAACGTTTACTACAGAATTGCGCTTACCCCTTAAGTTTTATCCGCTAAGATGCATTAATTTAAAAGATTATTAGTCATAGGTTCTAATCAGATTGATATTCTACATATAGAGTACCATATGCAGTCCAAAGACTAATATTGTTTAACCCATATTGCTGAAGGACTAGAATTGCATAAATCATTTGCATATTGCATGACTCATAACTTTGAGAGGGATTCTGACAATGCTAAATTTTACCACTTTTGTTGGCACTTCCTCTAAAACTCAAATATTGTGTTACTTAGTTCGATATCGTATGTTTTAGTGTGTTTTTAAATAACATTATGATAAGCTTCCACCAATTAATTATAAAATATTGCTCGTAAATTTATTTTTATTTACAAAGAAAATATACTGTGTTTAACTGGAACCGTTTTAAATTGACTTGCATATATATTCTACTATATCATTTTAATTTACTTCCCAAAAAATTGTTGAACCCCAAATCACTTTGTTGCACCAAACATCAAAGCTGAAAAGAGTCTTACTTACAACAAAGGGTTCTCCGCTTAGCAAAGATTTTCCAATTGTCTGCTTGGTAAGTTTTCCAGGCATTTTAATTAGGTGCTGTTTTCATCATGAACGGATCCTACTTTTACCTTGGATAGCCTTTTATCTCTTTTAAATGAGCACTGCAATTATTACAGTAATTGAAGGTCGAACTTAGACTCCAGTTTATGAAGATTTGTTACTAGGGCGTATATAGATTGTTTAGATGTTTTATGTATATTAGTAGCCTAGATTATAGTTTTAGTTACATAGCACAGGTTTAAGATTATTTGCATGATTTAGAATGCCCTGCTAAAATATGACAATATCCATTTATCCCAATTAAATACATTGCTAATATGGGAATTTTAGTACAAAAAACTTTATTAGAAAGAAGAATTACCATACAATGTATTTAGAAAATAAAACAACCCCTGTCCACTCCAATCAACCCTCATTCGGGCTTCACAAACTGCCTATATTTTCTGCAACATCTGGTAGCCAGAATTAAAAACCTTAGTATTGGATAGCGTTGCAGTTATTTTGCTTCTTTTCTTTGTTGATCATTATCCTGTTATGCGTTAAGTTTTTTTACCAACTATTTACACTAACCGATATTACTTATGAAATGTCCCGTAATAATCCTTCATGATATGTTAAGTATTTTTTATGTTGATGTAACTTACACAAGAAAAAACATGTCCAGCTTGTATTTTATAAAAAAATACCACATGATCTGTACTTATCATTTAAAAAACTAAGCTTTATCACAGCATAATATATGCGCCTACGAGGACTTAAAACAGTGAAGTTATTGGATACACAGTCCTTCCTTTAACAAGAATTAACTAAGATTTTTGATTTTACAAAATGTTCGTGTTATTTGGGCCTAAAAAAATACAGCCTTTTCAACAATACTCCAATATAGAGTTGATGGCTATTACATAAACAAAGGCCAGTACGTTGTTTGAATGATGAGCAAAACTTGTCATTTTCAGGCTTTCAGTTACAATAACAAATTTTTGACTTTGTCTGCATCCACAAAAACACTTATTTGTCAGGATTAGCCATTCTAGTATGGTTTTCCCCATGTGAGGTGATTTTGATATTTGGCAATCAGGAAAGCTTCGTATAAAGCTTTATTTATACATTTTAAATCGAGAGGTTTGGTTAAATTTAAAACTACAAGATAAAAAAGTTGTATAATCACTAAGAGGTTTTTATTCAGAAATACTTTACATTACTGTATTTTATTTGCGTTAAACATTTCTACTTTAGTAAATGTATCTCACAAGCATACACGCAGCTATAAATTATATAACTTTGCATTATAATTAGCGCATATTTAATTCATATGAACTGCTATTACAGTCATTAGTACATGCATCCATGAAGCGCTTTTCTCGTAGCTGATTTGTACGCTTCATTGCATCTAGTTTTATTTTTGCTGAACACACAAATTGATCTAACTTTGTTTTCCAAGTGTCGTTTTTGTCTTGAATACATGAAGAATCTCCCTTGCAAGTTTGCACAGCATCGTACCAGTCCTTGTCAATACTTTTGATCTGAAATTTAACCATTATCTGTCACCTTCATACCCAAACACTTTATTGTGATTTAATAAATGCTGTATGAAAAAAATCTTTAGAGATAAAAACACACTGCTATAGGAAATGTTTAATATTATCGTTATTTGGTGGCAAACCCTTCTTACCTCTTCAGTTGTATCAACATTTGACAATATATATTTCATTTCTAGAACATTTAAGAAATTCTACGATTATACCGACTGTTACTTGATGACATCTATTAGAACGAGCTTTGTGTAAGCAAATGTTATTTAATACCTTTACCTGTAATAACCTAAAAAAGCCTGTGAAACCTAATCAATGTTTATACTTGTTGTTGTTTAAACGACAACAAATATGCGGTGAAAGCATATTTCCTTTAAAACGAGGACAAAATTACTTAAATTTGAAAGGTAGACAAATGTTATATTTTGATCTTATCCCCCCTTTTTTCATAGCCAACTAAATTCAATCCTTTTAAATATATCCTTTTATGTAAAATAAAATAAAGTGTAAACAAAATAAATACCTTAAAGTTATTTAATGAGCAAGGCATGAAGGTGTCCTTTTGAGGCGTTTTTATGTTTTTAAGTTTTATAAAATTTTATCGAGAAAATTAAAGCTATTTAATCAAAATATAAATTATAATACAATGCTTACCTGCCCCACGTTGCCAATCATCATAGTTTGAAGGGACACACTTTTAAATCCATACCACTTTTGTTTTTTCAACTGGGATTTACATTCCTCAGCTCGGTCCCCAGTGTATTTCTTCAGAAATTCGTCTTGGGAGTTATCGTAGGCATAGTTGGCCAGATCATTTTTAGCATCTACTGTCTCGTTTTGTTTGTAATGATATGTATCTACGATCGCCTAGAGGCACAAATAGGCTGTTGAACTGTATGATTCCACAGCATAATCACAATATGCAAAGTTTAACCAGTTAAATAATATGTAGTTTAAACCGAAATCTATGAACAAATGAATATCATTTTACAATATTTTACAATATTTACAACATTTTAAAATATTTTACAATATTTACAATATTTAAAAACATTTTACAATATTTTATATTTATATTAATATTTATATATTTTTTACAATATTTTACTTTTACAATATATTACAGCACAATTTAAGATGTTCTGCATAAGTGTTACTTTCTCGAATATTGCATACTTGTGGATGAAATTTTTTTATTGAACTAAAACCTATTTAAAAACCAAAACGGACCTAACTTTTTCGTGAATTAAACCCGCAAGCTGCTGAAATAAATTAGATAGGAGTAATCAGTTTTTTCCTCCAGCTTTCCTTTATTGTAATGTAATATCAATTGTTTGCAAGGCCATGTGTCATTTACAAAAAAATATTCAGATAGTAACTTTGTTAATTTGTAGCTTTGTAGCCTATTAACAGGTAGTTAATAGATTTAGTAGCTTCCACAAAAATCTAAATTGTGTCAACATAAAAAAAAGATTTTCTCCGGACTCTTACGTAAAGACAATTACGAAAATATAATCAAATTTAATTTGATTTCACAGATTAAAATATACTGAAGTAAAAGAGAGGTTAATTATTTTCTTCATAACACTTTATTATTTTTTAGGATTATAATGTAAGATTATAAAGCAATTTTAATAGGCATTTACACTTAAACATTCAATGTGCTTACACGACTATCTGTAAATGAGTTTAACCGGTTGCATACAAAAAGCATAGTTTAAAGTAATTCCATTATATTGTAAATCATGTTGATACCCTACAATTACCTTATCGTGCATGAACAAAGTCAATTTGAAATCTTATAATATTGTTGTGATAGTTCATTCTGTGCTAAAAATATTCAGTGTTCTCTTTAGCGTTTGTTCATGGTAAGTCCTGGATCTAAGACTAATAAGTACATACACTAACTTTACTCACGATGACAACATGTCAAAGCACTTAAGCCTTTTTTCAAAGTCAAATTCCCCCGGAAAGAAGGAAATGTTTTGATAAGTAGTAAGTAACTGGATTTTATATTTATTCGGGTGTCACATATCCTCCTTATTAAAGTATTAGTTCTTAGTAACTATAAGAAAGTATTCTTTTTATGTTGAGTACAGTAAGGTCAATATAACATCAGGTGTTTCCCAGATAAATTGGCATATTAAACATTTAATTATTTTTATTAACGTTGTAAGTCCTCAATAACAAAATCAGTTTCTCTATGAAACTACATTTTACAAATTACAGTGCGCTTTAAATAACACAGTCAAAAGTTAAGTAAAATGATAAAATTATTTGTCCCAAATAGTTTATAATTATTTCAAAGCTTTAGTTTGGATTTCAAAACAACAATTAATCATTTGTTGTAAAACAAAGAGACTACAATGTTTCTTATTGACTATATTTACAATGTTTTTTGATTTACAATAAAATATTATTTTACTGTATAAAATAACTATAAGTATTTTTTAACAGACACAACATTTGTTTGTATGCGGAATACTTACACGGCTCAAGTGGAACACAGCAAGTAAGACAATGATACTGGTGAAAGCCATTTCTTGCTTACGGTACATAACGAAGTCGACTGTACACACAGATGTTTTGTCGGATGATCCGCAATAGCTGTTATCGTTACGCTCTGTTTTGTACTCAATAAATGTCCTGACAGAAATTATGACTACTTGTTCACCGGAGAGAATTGCTGTTATCTCCAAATTCAAGAGAAGTATACTAAATGAAATTTTTAACAGCTAAAGCCTGTTACGAATTTTCAAGGCCAGAGTGGAATTGTGGTACGTTATTTAAGGTGTAAATCAATTTGATATGTATGTACGTTATCACTAGGAATACCGTTATAACAAATTTGAAGGATATTTTATCCAAATTTATTTCAAGATGCCAAAGAAATTTAAGAGTTGGGGGCCATTAAAAATATACGATGCATCTATTCCTTTTTACGCTATCTTAAGCTTAGGAGGAGATTATAAAAGACATGGACTGTAGAGAAACAGATTAGTACACAACTTTTGTTAAATATATAGTCGGTATTATCACGGTGCTATCCATAAGGCATATTTTATTTTAAGCGTACTTTTCCTAGTAAAAATTGAAATCCACTTGAATATTTCCTAAATCAAAATTACTTGTTTTTTACCTCTTTGAAACTATATCACGTCTTTATTGATATTTTACTGAAAAGCATCTTGAAACTACATACTGTATACATTCAAACCTATCATTAATGTGGTTTTCACGTGAACGTAATCTATATAAGCCAATATAAATTAGTGTAAGCTATGAGGAATAATAGTTTGTTCCCTATAGATAATTTTCAAATTGCTTATTTAGTCAAAGATAGAAGTATATCGCCCACCACCGACTCATACATACGAAGTACGCCCAGTTTATGATCTACTCGCGTGTTCTATCAACAAGGGTTTGGTGCATCACAGACATCACGCTAAATTCCCATTAACGTTCATACAACTTAGGTATTGAACATTCACCTGTTCACGATCTGGTGATTTTAATCTTCTGTGTTGCTGAATGGCGTTACCAGTGATCACCATTATAGTGTTGCAGTTGTGACAATTTGAATAATGTCCATTTTAAGGGTGGGGCAGAGCTTACATCACCAAACGTTGCTACAATGACCATATAAAGTTACCCATTATCACCCCCAGGTACAAATGAATTTTTATATCGAGATATTTTCATGGTGAGGAACCCTCAAAATGTCAGACTGATGAAAACTCGAAAAACTAAATCTTAACACAACTAAATTAACCACTTCTGGAAAGATCATAATTTTTGTTGTCCCTTACAGTGGAATAACAATGATGAAATTATAATTATCCACCATGTTGTCAAATGTCCATGTACTTTCAGAAATGTTATACCAAAATATTTCTTAAACAAAATTATATGTTTTCTGGTAGGTGGAAGAATAAATTCCTAAGAGAATTAGCATTTATCTTACATTTGTTAACTATACCCTTGGCCTACTAGTTTTGCATACCAATTTTATTATTTGCCATTTGCTTGAACTGATTTTTACAACCTACATCCATGAATATTCCTTTATAACGTTATTGTATGAGGTCGTAAAACATGTTATGTCAATTTGGATTCCATCATTCAAATATGTGTAGTTTGCTTAATCATCATCACTACTACAAGTGTACCTGATTAATAAATAATTCTTTTCTTTGATAGACGGTTTTGATGATACGTGCCTTTCTTGATTATTAAACATCACTTGCAATATAAACTTGTGACAAGCTATACCCGAAAATAAAAATAGAAATTTGAGATTATAAAGTAATTTTCCATAAATTGTTATGTAAAGCGCAACACTTTCAGTAATTATTCCTAAATATATACATATATATACATATATATTGTATACTATTTACAATCGACCAATTAAAATCAACAAATACAAGCATACTTATGATAACTTAGTGTCAAAATAAATCCACACCATTATAAAACCTTGCCGGTGGTGCTTTAATAAAAAAACAATTTTTTAAATCAAAATACTCCATACAAATAATCAGCTCTTTTCAGTAGTCAGTTACAATAGATAGTCTAGGTTCACTTTCATAAAGATTGTAATCGTACGCAAGTGTCTTAGTGACGAACGAAGAATGCCGAAGAAATTCTATGGCAACTCGGACGTTTTGGATGGGCAACTCTTCAACTGAAAAGTAAAAAATAAGTTTTACGTATGTAGAAAGTCCTTCAGCTTCTCATACAATAGTTTCAACATCTAGGTAGTTGTAGTACACTGGGCTAGATTAATTTGATTCTACGCGATGGTTATTCTTACGTCGCTGGGGGTGGTTCAGGTTCATTGCTCGGAGGTGGGGCTACAGCCGAAGCAAATATCTTTGGTTCACTTTCAATAAGTTTGTAGTCGTTGGCAACTTGCTTCAACACATAAGTGGAGTAACGGATGTAGTCAATAGCATTCCGTACATTCTTTATAGGCAGATCAGCAACTGAAAAATATCATTGAAAATGTATGTACAACGGGCACTTCTCTTGGCGCTTGGTTATAGTATGATTATAATTTATAGATTGTTGATGATTTGGATTAATGTTTAACCACATAATGAATCATCAATGCATTATCTGAAAAATATGTTGATAAATTGTTGTAATTATTCACCGCAATATTAGGTTACATCAGTGATATAGAGTATAACTATAATATTTCTAGCTTTTAGATTTTAGATTGAAGCACTTGTTATATTGTTATGAAATCTGAACGGATAGTCTTAGCAATGTTTTAATAAAAAAACATAATTCTAAGTACATCCTCTAATTTACATAAACGTTTTGAAGTTCAATAGTCCTAGCCAGGGCTACCCTAGCTACCAATCTACCAAATATTTTTTTAATCGTATGCAGAATTCTAGGTGAAGGATTAAGAGGCCCTAAAGTAACTGTATTTTATACCGAAAGAACTACCTAATTTGAACTTTGTATTGAAGTATTTAATGATTGGGTGAATTTTTACTCACTGTTCTCGTAGTTTCCGATGAAACCAAACTCAACACTTCTTCCATAAAGCTCTGGAAATCTGTCATTCCTTTCGGGAAGAAAGTCCCACCCTCGTCCTTCGTACACCTTACCATCACCACCGACAATAAAACTGAAAAAATATTACTCCAACTAAATGTGCAAGTGTAATCAAATTAAACCTGATTGTTAGTAAAACCATAGACAAAATGAATTGAAAATAGACTGTCAGCCGAGCACGTGCAGTGGTTACGATGGTTAACTTAGGTTCTGTCGCACACCGCTGGGAGCACCGTGCAGTTAAGAAGCGCGTTGGTCGTAAGTACATGGCGCTCCTAGCGGTGTGCGCCAGAACCTATGGTAACTGCAGCACAGCTAACAGTATATATTTAACTCTCTTTGTCTATGGTAAAATTTAGTATCCTTAACTAGGTCTGTAATCAAATTAAAATACACTCTTACAGTATATGTAAAATGGAGGTCAAACAATAATAGGTAGGAAATGCTTGTAAGAACGGGAAATATTGTATGCCATGCTTATTTTTTTCAAAAAGGTTACTAACTTGGATTGGGTACAGAATGGGCGTGATAAATGTGCCTCCAATATTGATATTACAAATTAAAATAAACTCCTAGATATATGTCAACCAAAAACCTATACACCTATAACATAGAAACCCTTAAGAATCATTGGAGCCTAGACGTGCTAAGTCAAAAATAAAAATAAAACTGCAAAGCAAATTTTTACATATTGTTCCCTAGATATAGAAATGACACTCCCTTTGGTATTTGAAATAATACATATTTATACGGCAAATAACCATTGAGCGAATTTTTTAACCTAACATTGCCCTTAGAGCGGGCAAATTCAAGATGACCGTAAGTTCCAAGGACTCCCTTGGAAACCAATTATAGAACCACAATGAAAATAGATCTCATAGTGCTCTCGATATTTAAATTACAATACATTTGCATTTGGAATTTGATTTTGGTATGGAAAATAAATCTTCAGCAGCTGTTTGAAATTCGTCCAAGATAGCCGACAGCCTTCAAGGACTCCTTATTATCGTTACCACATGTTATCTGTAAAACACAGCTGTGATGCCTGATTTCTTCGAATGATAACGGTATATGCGTCTTAATAACAGTGACAGCACTTTGTAAGGCAATTCAAAGATCCATCTAATGTAAAAGTTCCAGGTTTCAAAACAACATTAGAAGCAAGAGAGTAAGTCTGTGTTTATGTGCAGGTCAAGTAGATGGACCTAGTGCCTGACAAGATAAATGTTAATGGCGTGACTACTAAGATATCTAGGATGTGCTTGCAAAACATAATACACGATAGCATCCTCGGGAAAGTTTAGTTAGTATTTTCACCACCGCTGTGGGTAAATGAGATAAATAACATACTACATCCAAAAAAAGAGTCACATTATGATTAAAATATCCCAAAGGGCCATAAGAACATAATTTATCCTTACTTGTAACCAATGTCTGGTTTCTCTTGGTCCACCATATGAGACTTCTGCAAGTCTCTGACGGCTTTTTCGCATTGAGTGTTGATTAGACATGGTTTTGTTCCTGTGTTGTAGGTAAAGATGACATTAGGTATCGGTTTGTTCTCTATAGGAGGAGGGGGTGTCGACGAGGGAGGCTCCGCCCGCCATCGAGACCTGGGTATAAAGGCGTAGTGGTTCCCGAGCGAGTAGGGGTCTTTGGTTGATGACATGTTGGCTGAAACAGAAGTTTTTGACCGTTTATGGACTACAACACTAAGTGTTTAGTCATGTTAGAAATATTAGGATATAAAAAACTAATTAGATAAAACCCAGACTAATTAGTTAGTAAGACCCAAAACTTTACATTGAGTAGGCTTATTCAACTGGCCACACAAACCGGCCAAATAAAAACACAAAATAACGGGAAAATGCAAAAGAACTGCGGTTAGTCGTTTATGTAAACCTTCAACACCAATTATAGCACTACAGGAGGTAAAATATTTATAATAAAAGGCATTTAAATTCATAAAATACAAGCTTATAGTAATTATTTGTTATTTATTGGTGATGAAAAATTAATTTCCGAAATTAAAAAAATTGAGGATTTTCTACGTTACTGATATTTTTAAAAACGACAAAGTATAAGACATATATATTTTTTCAATTTCGCGCACCTTTTCTTCAAAATCATTTTCCGCCAATTTTCATTTTTGGTATTCATTTGAAATGGATATTGAGGCCATATTACGAAACGGTTTACAGTGTTTTAACCAAAATGGGATTGTACCTACACTTAGCCTAAGTCGTAAGTTAAAAAAAAAAATTTAATATATTGAAATTAAGTGTTCTTAAAGAATTATCCATCACACAGATTATATTAAACAAAAAAGGAAGTTAACTCATTTACTCACATGTTCCTTGTTTCAATAATTAAAAGATATTCTTCAGAAATATATGTACTACATTTTATTAGAGGGTATTCATTGAATAATGTTTTGTTTAGGAAAATAAATTGAGCATTTTGAACAAATCTAGAACATTAGCCTTATCTAAATTACACCCTTATCTCTTCTTATAAAGGTTTTGACTGCTAACACATAAACTATGAATTTCTAATAAAGCTAAGATAGTTTTTCTAACAAACTAGTCCATGATAGCATATCCGTAAAAATACATCTGTATAATATGTTTTTGTAAGTTTGTATAAGCTATTACGCTGTTTTAAACATTAGTAGGGTGAACACATTTTTAAAGAAATTAAACAGTTTTTCTTGAAGCTTAAACTAATATTTTACGTAAAGAATGGTATACGTTATCGTTCAACCTGGACAGCAAGTTCGCTCCGCGGATATTGAATAATACGCTAAGCCTCAGGGGAAATAATGGCTAAGAAGAAAGCGATTTTGGCAAGGAAATGAGAAAAGTCTTAGCTCAAACGTATAAAAGGGAAATCTTCGTTTTACGTTTCCATCCAAACAAAACAATATTAATATTTATTCTGTGATTTTGAATATTACACGCTGTTTTCGACACGGTTGGTATTTTTGAGTATTTCGCTTAAACAGATTTTTTTTTATTTACTTTGTACCCATTGATTTATTTTCTACCTAATAGCAAATACTACCATGTTCCAGAACCAATTATTTTAAATCGAACAAGCAAATACAATCAAAAACTACTCGACTTCTCCTATAAAATGCTTTTTGTATTTAAATGTATATTTAAATTACGAAGTCCAATTATTGCACATTATTACTATTCAGAACGAGTTTAACCATCTGCATGTTTGATATTGCAGCATCCTCAAGAAAATTTGAAAACGTGCAATGCACTTTAATCGGTAGTCTATTTAAGTTAGGTTCTTATTACATACTAAAGCTATTTTATTATAAAACTGCCTCTCTCCTTAATACTCCTATGGCTCTTAAGATTTTAGTCTATAATAAAAGAATAAATAAAAATAATAATAAAGAATTATAAAGAAGAGGTGGTGTCAATATTTCTATATGTGTGTTTGTACGCGCTAAATGCAAAAACTACTCAACCGACTGGGCTCAAATTTCACAGAAATAAAGCTTCAGCCTCGATATTATACATATTATATTATTGATATTATTATATGTATATTATTTTAAAACTATTCCCGATAGTGACCAAGGACTCTGCCTCGTGGGCTATCAAGGTTCTAAAGTTAGAGTTTCAAAAGTTATTATTGATTGATCTCTAACTCAGCAGAGAGCGAATTAACAAAGTTTGAAATGTACACAAGCAGAAATAACTGTCAAATTCACTTGATGTCACAAATTCCACACAGCCGATTTGAACTAATTCAATTCTGTAATATTATATAGGGAATTAGTCTATGGGTAAAATAAATTATTCTTTAATATAGGAAATAAGTAAAATTAGTTTTTGCCGTATCAACATAGGCTCTTACGCTCAGTTTTGAACTTAGCCTTTGATAATTGTTTCCTAGATGTATTTTTGTGGAATGTCGTGTGCAATTTTACAAACTTTTGAATTTTGAACTCAAGTTTAGTTTATAAATATGTTTTATTCACTTCTAAGCTTACAAACTCAATTCATGGGTTTACTATTTTACACACACGTCATGACTAATCTAACCTTGACGTACCATTATACTTTAAAATACTCGTAAAAAAACATTACAAAGCATTTATTACTGAATTAATGTTAATGATTAACGTGACCTATTTTACTAAACATATGTTTGACTTAAACTAAGTAAAAGATATGTCACAACGAAACGGTATACAGATTAATAAATATAGTATAAATTCAAACAATTGAGAACCATTTTTGCAGAGCCTCCAGTATACGTACTAGAATACTGGAACTGACTTATAAATGAAACCTTAGAATAGTTAATATTGCAAAATTGTATCATACATTTAGACGAACTGAACCAAAGTGACTCCCTACAACAATAATTGGTTTACATTGTTAATGAATAATCCGTGCCTTGGCGTGTAAATCTGTAGTATCCGGTGTGATAAACCGCACTTCCGCCGCCTAACTTCCGTTAAGTGTTAATCATCCTGTTACTTCACGTCACTTTCCTGCCTGTTTGTAGATAGCTTTACGATGATCAGATATAAAATACACCACATACAGAATGCAATAATTACTAACCTAATGTGTAATATATTGTAAAAACGAATACTAAACCAATCATCAAACTTGTTCCTTGCACTAATTATGGCCGTTTTAAATTATTCCCGTTTAAAAATAAGTAGGTGAAATAAACATAACCAAATACAGTAATACAAACAAATAATCACACATCATGTTAATAAGGTAATACATTGAAAGAATAGAATACGAATAAGTACAGCAGAGATATTTTTAACATGAGGTAAATGGAAAGTTCCCTTTAGATAGAACATACGAGCTTGTTTTAAAAATTTATGAAATAATGGATAGTTTTGCGCAAGATTTTCGTCATGACGAACATTTTAAGTATATGGTTTATGGGAGTGTGACTTGTAGTTTTCTCAAAAGTTCATGGGTACTTTGGGATTTATATATGGATGGGACTTACATACAAATAAATACTGACACGTAAAACGAATAACATAACAGCTATTTAGGTATACGAATAAAACCCAATAAGCTTAACATCTCCTCTTCGCACACATAATATAACAAAGTACGGCTATAATCTAAAAACTATACGCGAAAAAAGGTTTCACTATTTTTAACAAATACTATTTTTTAATCCAGGTAAAACTGTTTAAACACTAAACTACTTACAATAATAATTTTAATGGTTTCATTTTGGGTTAGTAAGCAGCTGAATGGATGCAAAATAAAAAAAAATAAGAAAAACTAATTTAAATATATAGAAATACTAGCTGACCCGGCGAACTTCGTATCGCCTAAAGGTTTCCCCTAAGACAGACCAATGGAAAGAAAGTACCGTTACGTTTAATTTTCAAGATGATCTCGTTCGCATCGCTCAATCACGTCCTGGTTGAAGTTCGTTCGCTACGCTCACTCACCTTTGGGTTGAAGTTCGTTCGCTACGCTCACTCACCTTTGGGTTGGAGCTCGTTCGCTACGCTCACTCACCTTTAGGTTGGAGCTCGTTCGCTGCGCTCACTTGCCTTCAGGTTAGCTCGTTCGCTACGCTCACTCGCCTCCAGGTTGAAGTTCGTTCAGGTTGGAGCTCGTTCGCTGCGCTCACTTGCCTACAGGTTAGCTCGTTCGCTACGCTCACTCGCCTCCAGGTTGAAGTTCGTTCGCTAAGCTCACTCACCTTTTGGTTGCAAATTAGCTGTTGTCATAAATGTAAAAGAAATAATAGTGCTGCACCCTGTTGGTAATCCTTGTAACTTTAATGCTATTGAACATCATAGAACAGAACCAACTTGTTTTATTGAAACAGCTGTTAAGATTCATTAATTCCATTTCTCATAAGGTTAACATGGGAAACTCCAGAGCCACTGGGGCGGAGCCCTTTTAAGAATTTCGAAACGGGAAGTAGTTTACGTCCGATTCGCATACCTACAGAATTTACACACCAAATTTCATAACGATCGGTGAAGTCGTTCCGGAGGAGTTTGCAGACAAACACTGTGACACGAGAATTTTATATATTAGAAGAAGATAGAACTGTGTCTGATGAAAAAATGTATAGTTGATGAGTCTAAGTTGATGAGTCTAAGTAGGTTTTATATTTTTACACTAAACACAGTTCTGTATGTTGACGTTATTCCTTACGTATACGAATATTTATCCATTACGTTAAAAGGAAAATATCACGAATATGTGAACATTAAATGTGTAGCAGGATTTGGAGGAAAATATGTTGAGTGCACAAAGTCTAAGCATCATTTCAAGTTTTAGAATGCTGTCAGATAAAATAAGATTAATGCGGTCTCTCGACTTAAGCGAGTTGCTTGGCTGCCTAATGATGCGAAGTCCCATCGTTTGGGAGGGAAAAACTCCTTATCTATTTCCATACAGTAAGCATGAATAGATTGCTGATTGCAATGAAGCTGAGGCGGCTGAATAATCCGTTTACAAAATGATTTATTATTAATTCATTACCGGGGGATTTTGAAAGAACCTAGAAAGGAACTAGAAAAAAAAGTGTCAATTAAATCAATTAAAAGAGTTGACATGAATATAACATATAATATATATACTTGTTCAAATTAAAATACCCCCGCCGTAGCAAACCTGCAGACTAAGAGAATTACCATTTGCCTGAATTGATTTTAAATTAAATCTGTTTAAATAACATTAGGTTTAGGTTTGCGGCTACAGCGAGGCTAATAAAGTGTGGTTGGGTAAAATATTAGTAGCTTACTATAGAATAAATAAATTTTCCAAGTTTGATCAAAATATTTCGATAAACAAGCAAACTACAACCTTTTATAATATTCTCAATACGAACATTGAAATTTAAAATTTACATTTTTTTTTTATTTTCTCCGTAACCAATGACCGTACAAAAACACTTTGGTATACTAAATTATTATTTTTCAAGCTCCTTAAAATGGTCAAGAGATGAATTGAGAAATGTTGTGTTTTGAAGGTCAAACAAAGAAGGTCGAAACCCTAAAACCCTTTTTAACCCCGTAAAACCTTGTTCCCATGGTCCGATCATGCTAGTTCGCGATCTCATTAAAGTTGATCCAGCCTTACACTTTCAAACAAAATTTCATAAAAATTGGAGAAAAATAACTCATTTTATCGCGTTCACGGACGTATATATATATAAATGTATAAAGGTTTGAACGAATAGTGTTTTTGGCCTCTAGGGACCTAAAAATGAAAAAGTATATCGGTCCCGGCTTTAGATCTTACCGTGTCACCTATGGTAATAGCTACTTCCCTGCAGGGAAATTCGCTAAACATATACATCTATTATTTTGTTTAAGGGCTAAAAAAAGAATGTTTGTATTTCTTTTGCTTTTTAGGAAAAAAACTCTCTATGTATTTAGTTTCTATAGCTTATACAACCCCACAAACGATATCCAAGTATAATCAATTGCTGACACAGTTTATACTTCAAACACACTCGTTTCTTTATACACTCTATAAAAATGTTTTAAACTAAATTAGTATAAATTCAATATTTATAACACAGGAGGGTTTAGAAAAAATGTAAAATTGTCTATTTAAAAATGGTGGAACAAATGCTACTTAAACCTTTTAATTTGTATGAAAACGACCTTACAATAAGTACTTTAGTATTCCCTTGTACAGATTTTTTTATTTACAATTAAAAACAGTTTTTCAGATTCATAGTACCGGTATTAAAAAACGATATTTATAATACAATCAAGAAAGTATGATATCTATCTTTTATATTAAACCAGAACGGTTATTAAAAATGCAGGGTTGAATACGAAAACTCGTGACAAAAGAAATTAAATAATGGGTTTTTATTGCATTGTTGATACTTTATTGCGAATTCTCGAATAGCGTTGGGTAACCATTTACCTTTTATTAAACGGATATAAGACCTCTTGAATATACAAATTAGATAACAATTTTTCCGTCTTTTTTATTTTTAATCAGAACATTTCAGAAGGTACGAAACACGATAGACCTGCAATTTCAAAGATTAGGAAACTTATTTAATATGAATTATTTTGACATATTTGTTCAACCACTAATATGCATACATGCACACATATATTTTTAGTTTCTAGGTTAGAAATCTTAATTAAATTTATATCCTAAAATTAAGGCTACAGGCAAAAGTCTGATATTAAATAAACGCATTTGGTAATGAGATTACAACCGGAATTCAGTTCGGCAAAAATGCAAGGTAAGAAATTTACAAAGATGGACCACTGATTGTTCAGATTAAACTGATTGCGTTGATAGTGCTGATATAGGCACACCTGATTGTTAGCAACAATCAACCAGCTGTTTAAGGGTTCATTAATGGACAACCTCCCACTATGGAGGCGAGACTGGTGTTCTTGGATGTGATTCTGGTAGTTTTGCTGACTCTCAATTCTTGGGTAAGACTCAAATTGCTAATTATAATGTAGTTGATATTCAATAATCTACTTACATAGGACGTATAGCTTACTTTTGTTAACTGATAGTCTATGTTTAAATTTACGATTTATACTCATTTTTTCAATTGGATGTAAATAATATTAATTTAGTTAGTATAGGATCTCTGAAATATAACTTAAGATAGATTTAATGCGTACTGTTTAGCAGTACCGGTATTTCATACCTTTTAATGGAAAAATTGTTAATATGAGTTCGGATTTCGTTTGATATTTTTCCAACTGTAAAATACACCAACTTGTATGAAATTACATGCAAGTTTTTTTTTATAATACGATATTCATACCGTTTAAATTGAATGATTATACTTTTAGCAGGGATTTAAAAAAATAAATTATGCAATTCCGTAAAATCGTAACTTGCTATTATATCGTTTAAATATATCCCCTATACTATTAAAATTCTGTATCTAATGTCCTTCTTCTCATTTTAGGTTGGAATGAAAATGTGCAAAAAAGGTCGAATAGCAAATAAAATATAGATTTTTGTAAGCCCCTTTGGTTTCTAATGTATAATAAACTTTCGCCTGTCTATTAAGTTTTATATATTAAAAGACCTATAAAATGTTTATGATCTTCATTTTACGAAATTCTGGACATGAACTTTATAGCTTCTACAGTTAAGAACAATGTACTCATTCAAGATAAAACTCTAAGTTGGGGAAGATGATGCAGTAATACCGATAACTGTAGGATTACAATTTTCCAAGCATAACAACTGCTACATTATATTACTATAAATAAACATAAACCTATTGTAAAAGTTGCAACACATTACAACAGGGTGAAGGAGAGAGCTATGAAGCTGAGTTGGATCTGACGAAGGAGACATGGAATAAGGTTCAGAAACTAGGAGACATTACTAAAGATGTTGAAACGCTGCTGAATAAATACAATGGAAATGCTGCAGAAAACTGTGTGAAGCAGCTTCCTCAACAAAACTACCGTTCTGCTCTTGACAAAAAACTAGCATCTTACAAAAGTAAGGTAAGTAGCCTAAATACATTTGTAAGCCAAATTGTAGTTACTCTTGCAATATTCTCTTTAGTATTTATTTCATTGTTATAATTTAGTTAGTTACAGAAATATTAAAATGATTTACTATAGATCACATTCTACTTACGTATGCCAGTAGGTGTCAATTGTTGTTGATATTATTCATGGTATACATGTTTCAAGCCTAACAGGGCTCATCTTCAGCAGCATTTTACTATGTAAAGTTTTTTTCACACCGAGAAACTTGAAACATGTATAACATGAATAATATCAACAACAATTGACACCTATGGGATACTTAAGTAGGTTATTATCTATAGTAAACATATTAAAGGTGTCAAGGCTGATCATTTTGATTTAAATGATGTCAAGTAGACTAAGTGCTAAGTAGTTCCATAGAAAAGTGTAAAGAATGTTTTAAATTGCGATAAATCATATATTAGTTCAAATAATGGATTATAAATTACACAAATTTAATAATCTTGTCAGAAATTTTTCAAAATATTTGTAAGATTATTCAATCTTTTTAGCAACAGAATAAAACCTACTTAAAGTATTTCATAAACAGTCTACTACAAAACTCGTTATTATTAATGCTAGTGGGTCCATAAAATGCAAAAACAATCCTAGAATAAAATAAATGTAAATAAGTATATTAACGAAGAAAATACATCATGCACTATTTTCCTTGTTTTGGGAATTTATGGATTAAAGTATTTATTATCTTTGCCATTGATTTTTTACAATATTATGTCTTTGTGAGATAAGGAATGAAAAAAAAACATTCATTATTTATAGGGCTGTTATAGTTTTCACTTCATAGTCAAAAAGTAACTAAACAAATCGATTTAATAGTAAAAAGAAAATAAAGTATACCAATCGTAAAATAGATTACTTCATGCATGGCCCACCATATAGAATATAAACCACATATACTCTGTTTAATTTGTATCTTAAATTCCAGCTCGACTACAATGACAAATTGCTACGAGGTGAATTGCAGAAGTGCGGCACTGATGAACCATGCAAAGAGGAGGTGATGACTAAATACGAACAAAACATGGACGCTTTGGTGACGAATGCAAACGTGTACATCCCTGGGCTTAAGACTGCGGCACTAAACAACCTGCAGAAGTTTATGGACTCGTGTGTTCAAGGGACTGTGGTAAAGGATGAGAGCAGGCCAGTGTCCAAGAGCACAAGGGATCAAGAGAGTTACAACAGTGAGGTCGGGGATCAATGGCATTGGTAAAACTGAGCCTTTGAAGGTCTAAAGCAGTTGATCCAATAAGCATGATCTAAGCAAACAGGTTTCAAAGCACACTGAGTTCACTGAGCTAAATGTTTCCCATTATTTTTTCGCCTGGAAAAAATATTTTTCGTAATTTCCTTATTATCTGAATATTCCTAAATAAAGTAAAGGTATTTTCTAGTGCTTATTTCAAACCTGACCTTGTTCGTAGTTAATATACACTAAAGTTATTGTTTGCGTTACCTTTTTTTGTGTACAATTCTAAAAAAAACTGCACGTGCTAAGAACAGTTTCCAAACAAACCAGACATATGTTTTTTTCTGAAATAGTTATTTGTGTAACTAGTGGTGAAAGTGGTACTTTGCTGCACACGAGAGCAATGTTTACGCACGAGCCACAGGCGAGTGCGGAATGATCTCGAGTGCAGCAAAGGCCTTTTTCACTCGTGTTACACATTATATTTTTCCTACAGTCACTATAAAGCATATAAATAATTAGTCTTTCAAACACTATACAACACGTTTTTAGGTTCATCTGGCAACACAAATGGAGCCCTAGAGAAAGTAGTACCCGCGGTCCGTACCACTCCGCTATTTTTCTTCGGCAAGAAATGTGCTCCGCGTTTTGACAATATAGTTCCGTATGTTTTTGTAATTTGAAGTGGTCTCCGCGCCTAAAAAAAGGCTTTAAAGGTATTTTCTTGTTTATTAAGATCGTGGGAATGTTTTAAAAACGTTTAAAAGAAAAGTCCAGAAAGTTCAGAAATACCGAAACTATAAACACGAAATGACAGGTTAAATTGTAGTTATAATAGTCAATCAGCTGCTCATAGTATTATTATCTTAAAGTGTTGCCAACCTATTTCCAAGCGTACACGGATTACGTGCATAATAGAACCACGCTGTTTTGTGTTGTTTCGTTGGAATCTTGATGTGCGGCAAAGTATAAATATGCAGCAATTAGCAGCTTTCTGTACTATAAACAGTACAAGGAAGCCAACTTTGTCGGGTGACTGTAGGAAAATGTAATTTTCAAAACTTAAAAAAATTGATTACAATGTTCTCAAACGGACAGGCAGCACAATCTTACCCATCTAATCGATGCAACTTGGGACCTCGGCTCACCTTTTCCAGAAAGAAAATAACCTACTCTTGTGTAATTTAGAATAGCTAATAACAAAACTTAAAGTCTTAACATTTCTTTGCTGCAAAACCTTAAAGTTGTCATTTTTTTCCAGTTAGTATTATACGAAATGGATTAAAATTTTATTTTTAATACGAGTACTGTATATTACGATTTAAAAGATTAAAACAAAACTAATGTCCAGCTTGTCTAAAGTCAATTTTACCGAGTATCCCATCAGTTAAAAGTGATAAAGATGAATGTGACATTTCCAAATTAAGGCAATAACTTCCCACGAAAATCAATGGTGAGCTTTGGCATTAACTTAGTTAGCAACCGATCTAAAAGTGTATTTCAGTTTAAAACACTTCAGATGCATAATATATACATTTCATTTGTTGTAGATAAAATGTTTTATTTAATAAGGTAGCAAAATGCATTTTGGTGTTAGATAGTAAGGTCATAGCATGATAGATTTACTCCAAGTACTAAAAAGCTCAAAATTATAAGACAAATCATTAAAATAGCTAAAACTCTGCAGTTGGTTTAAATATTAGGTCAGTGTAGTTTTACTACCCATATTTTCCATACTTTCAATCACTCCTGTTTCTTCTGTTGTCTAATAATTTGATTGTATCTAATGGTGGATTCCAATCAAACGGTCTGGAGTTATCACTCAGTTAAAGACAATATCAGGTAATCATTGTTAAAAAACATAATAATTACAAAAACCTGATCCCTAACGTTTTAACCCTGAAACCGGGCACCCTTCACAATTTTAATACTCTTTGAACTGGCTACTGGCATGTAAAGACAATTTAAATTCCTAATATTTATATCGTTCAATTCAACAACTCGTTTATATTCCCTTAGTCCACACTGAAGTGTTATTGGCTTCAAACTACACCAAACGTTAAATCAAAGCGAGTGGTAATCAAACTGTCTGATGGAAGTGTTTGTGCCACAAAGACTTGCAAATGTGAGCTATTTGATCAATGGTAATTGTCATCAGAGAAGGCGTGACTAGCATCGCTTGTGGTCGGATTAGGTCCTTGTGCGATTAACTTCACCATTTTTTATTTTTTATTTGCTGTTGCTTCGATTATTTAATTTTTATTTTCGTCGAACCTTTAAATATACATTAGTTGCTTACTACTGCAGAGCAAATGCTAGCTTCAGATGATACTATAATCAAAAAGATCTAAGTTAAAATTACATACTGATAGTTTTTTTTTTGGATTGAACTCAAAGGTAATACCACTACTTGGAGGTTTGGAGCCCATATTGTATAGGTCCCAATGTATATAGGAACGACAAATGATCACTTATGGCTGAGATTAGCCCACAAGCACCGGATTCTGTGATCACCGTGGCTTTGAGTGTTTATTTAATGTAAAATTGTATCTATACGTTAGTTTTCAGGTATATACTTTACTTTATACTTTATACTTTCTTATGAAATGGCAACCAAACTATGTAGGTATTTTAAGCCAAGTATGAATGGAGATGAGTGTAGGATGAGTGGCGCGATCTTGTAGTCTTGTTAGTGACTAAGGCCGACATTCCTTAGACACAGCTGTTAATTAATAGCCCAAACAGCTAATGGCAACTAAGGGACCTACAGTTTATAGTGGAATCCGAACCACATTTTTCCTTGGTATATACGAATTGGTCTAATTATCAGGATAGTACTGCGGATAGTAGTAGTACTCACTAGTGCGGACGTTAATCCACACCAGGGAGTATCCCATCCACAGCGCATGCCTATAAATATCCACAATCCGTGACCTCCAAGTAGCTGGATTACAGGACGACGCCACCCGTCCCAGTCATTAGAGTAAGTCTGCTGTATATGTTAAGCGTTCGAGTTCTAGCCAAGCTTAGAATCCCACAAATATTGTTTAAAATTGACGACGAGGTTAAGCAATGTGGTAGTTACTCGAAGGGGTGGTAAAAAGCTTTATTTAGGATATTTGAAAAGAATAAAGCAATAATAGTAATCCCTGGTAAGCAGATCCCATTATATACATCTGCCATTATCTGACAATTTTTTTTTGCGAGTCAATTAATCATTAATGTGCACCAGCTAAATTCATTACACTTTTTGTAGTCAATTAGGGCTATATGCAATAACGTTACAATCAATTAATAATAACAGAGTATACCTACACGTAAATGTTGTGGTAACGTCAGCGTTGTGGTTTCAATTGGAACTGTTATATTGTGGTCAAACAGTACCAGACATGATTACATCTAATGGGGGAGATCGAAGATGGTATACGTAAGAAAGGGTTAAAAGAGAATAGAGGAGAGCTAATACCTAGGGTGTGTTAAATCCGGTTTGTTCCAGAGAATACTATGTACAAATGTTCTACTACAATCAACCTTCATTTCATTGAATATCTCCGTGTTTCTCAAAGAAATGTCTGCAGGCCAAAAGGTTTTTTTTCCTTGTAACTGTTTTAGGCCATGGTATAGGTAATAGGTTTAAAGTAAAAACCCATTACATTTTTTTCAACACTACCTTACAAAACCCGTCCTGAAATGGTAATTGCATTCACAAAGAAAGACTTTTGTAGCTGTTATTTTCACTCAATAACTAAAATAAGTAATTAATTAGTATGAATAAAAATAGTTAACCTTTATCTGAAATAAACTAGAACCAAGTGGGCGTATTTGTTAATTTAATAGTTACCCAATCATATAAACTTTGAAATCAAAAAGAATTTCAAGAAAGAGGTTTAAAGAAAGAGTTTAAAATGGTGTCGAAAGAAGATTTAAGGGAAAATTAGAGTTATAATTAGACGTATCTTTAAAACAAAACACTTTCACGTAATTAGGCCAGACGTATATCAATTTATATTTTGTTTATAAACTTGCAAGTATAGCACAAAATTAAAAGACATAAGAGTATTTTTTTTCTGAATTTAAACATAAAATAATGCATGTAAATACTACCTTTTGTACCACACTTACTCTGTAAATATTTTTTTTATTAATACTTTAAATAAAAACCGCTGTTATTAAGTTATATTTAGTTTTATTTTTAACTGTTTATGGTTTTTTTATATACGTGAAGAATATAACAAATTGAAACTGTAGCAAATATTAAGTTGTATTTTAATTTTAAATCTAAAAAGAAAGAAGACTCGTTCAGATTTTAAGATAAGCAGAAAACAATATAAGCCAATTATTCCGGTTGTATTGGATCTGGGTTTCAAGAAATTAAAAACAATCTTTGCGAGTTCTTGGTTTTAGATTAAGCACTGTTGAGGGAATTCAATTAAATACTATTGAAGACTGAAGTAGACACCGTTTCCATTTCAATTATAATTCAATCTGTTGGTTTTGTATCCAAAAGACTTACCACTGCAATATTTCACTTACAAAATGGTTTTGTATTTAAAGCAATACACTATGATAGGAAAAGTTAACTATCAAATATTAATGCTATTTGAAAATGTTAAATGCTTTTAAAAGTATATTTCTCATTTCGTATGAAGTGAAATATAAAAAAGATCCACAACTAGAAATACTGCTAAAGAAAATAATTGTTTATACACCTTCTTAAATTAACTACAATTTTGAATTGTATGTATGGTGATCCCAGGATGATTGGTACAGTGTTTGTTACATAAATAAATATAGTTCGTCTTATGTAATTTCTAAAACGAATGTTTTATACTTAAATTTGATCTCAAGGCTTGATATATAGCCTATTGATATGTTGGGTTTAAGTAAGACATACTAAGAACACTAGTGTGATGAGAGTGTTTAATTAGTGATTAGTACCCTACTACACGTATTGATTGTATTCTTCCTAAGGGTTCTTAAATGCTACCATAGAATTAAAGTATTTTCATATAAACCTTTTTTTATCCTAAGACACTAGGCATAGGTTTGTTTTTTACATTACTTCAGGCTAGACCTAGGAGTTGCGGCATTATTAATTCAAATCCATTGGTGATTGGCGGGATTTGAGCCCGGAAAATTTAGGGACTGAAGTCACGCACTCTAACCACTAGACCAGCTCGCTCCTCCTTATAAAGCCTTGTT